TCAAAATTTTGATATTATGATATTAGGTGAAGAATAATCAAATAGCACAAAAAGACAGAGCATTCTTTTTTTCTACCATTCCATAGAGAAAGAAAGGTTTCTCAACCTTACTATGTGGTATTAAAGTGTCACTCACTACTTTTGGACTGCCCTAAGTATTGGGTTACAATGTCTATGACGTATTCAATGTACTACGAGCTGCTCGAAAAATCAATCCATGTGACTTTTCGATACAAGGAGTTGCTGAATCAGGATGTTATTAAAAGTAAACTTCATAACTCTCTCCAAAATGAAGAGAACAATTTAAATGATCTTTTAAAAGCTACATTTTATTAAAAGCTGAAAGGATTCATCTATAAAATTATGTTACAGAACCTGAGAATTCATCTATAAAAATTGATTAGTAACTCGAGGAAAACGCGCAATATAGTAAAGTTGATTCAATTTCTTTACGACTTGCACAGATTTAGTATTGGATTTTGACTATCGTCTCAGAAAGACAGTAATAACTCGCATCAATATGGATGCTGCTTGAAAAACATAGCATATAGGCAGAAACAACCGAGACTTCGGTTTTGAAGTCCAATGAAGTCCTGAAGCCTTATGAATTCTCGTCAAGTCTCATGAAGTCTTCTATAAACTTTTGATGTGCCTTTAGTGCATGGAAAATCCATAAAACCAATGAAACAAATTCCGAGCTTGTTTGAACTTACAGAAGAATCGTAATTTATAGTTCAACTCTTTTCAATGAAGTTGTTTATTTCTATGAGAAATTCTCCATCAATTTATTACCAATGTTATGAAGAATTTTAATCCTGTTTGTCTGTTTCTATCACTCGTGAAAGTCTATCAGCTGATAAACGGCTAACTTTATTGGTGAATAACCAATATTCCGTTTGCTTATGTACAACTTTAGCTTGTAATTTTCTTCATACTTGCTTCCAGAGACAGAGAATTTATTGCGCCTGTGAAAAAGCTGCTCTTAACCCTTAGAGTCCCGGTGACGTATAAATACGTCCGAATGTAGTTATTGGACAAAGTTGCTCTTAACATATTCTTTAATTGTTTGGAACACCTTTTTATCATTTCTTCCATCTTTTGGACATGGCGGTACATAATGCATTTGTAGTTTACGAAATGCAGAATAATATTTCGTCCCACCTATCTGATTTTCGCCTTGAAATCATCAGAGAAGTTTTAACAAAGTATGGACTACAAAGACCAACTACCATTGGAAGACTATCGACAAGAGATTTTCCTCTTTGTCGAACTACTCGACATTTGTCTTCACTTATTTCACAAACATCGCAATCAAAACAGTCTCAAAGAAAATGCGTAGTTTGTACACCTCATTGTTGATTACTATAAAGACTACCATATAAAGATGAACTACTAATGGCTTTTTGATCCCGAAATTTGATTTCTTCGTAAAGAAATAAAAATGATATTTAAAGATTTCTTATAAAAAATTTCGAGTTACTCAAAAGAAAGCCGGGACTCAAAGGGTTAATAGGAACATTTCCTATAGAGTCATGTTTTATATTTAATAGTATCATCTTAACATGGTTCAATGTTAAATATGTCGTAAAGAAAATTTTGAAAGGGAAAAAAAATTCTTTTTTACATTTGTCTAATTGATAGTGTGTTTTGCATGGTACAGAAACTCAATACAATTTCTAAAACTTCCCGAATGCTCAAATAGTCTTGAAATCTGATGAAAATCTTGTGAAGCCTCATGAAGTCTCCTGAAATCTTATGAAGTCTCATGAAGTCAGACGAAGCCTTGGAAGTCCGTTGTTTCCTTCTCACATAGCATGCTTCTAAAAACCTCCAATGTCATATCAACACATGACACGAACCTACGTAGCACTCTATGAACGCCAATAAATTATGTTTGCGGTGCTCGGTGAGTGTTTAGGCATGTGTATAGATTGGCACACCCGATCGAACGTCCAGCACGCAGGGTTAAAACCGGCTCGGAAAAAACACTACTAAACAGATTCGTTTTCATCGATTCTTTAATTAACTTTAGGGCACCCTAGCTCTTCATTTGGCTGGCTTTTATCAATAATTGAGACTTAAACGATTCAGAATTATGAACTCGAAACTTTCCAATTGATAAAAATTCTGGTAGTTGTCAAATTTTCTAATTTTAATTCCTCCTCTCACTCCCGTATGATGCAAAAAGACACGCGAAGAATGTTTATAGTATTGATTGTGGTCACACAAAATGTGCCAGTCACTATATTATAAATTTTATCTAAACTAAAGATTTTGCACCTTCAAATTTCAAGGTCACTTTTCTTGAAACAGTGTGTGTATTAATCGGGACATGGAACGAGATTATAGGAGTAGCTACGAACACAGTTTGTTGCCTGTCATAGGAGCTATACACGCACTTCTCCAATGCGTATAAATGTACGTACAGTGGAGACTCTGGACTGTATGGTTAGCTACTTAATGGGTGTGAACCCATTCTGGGCCTTGGAGTGTGTGAAGACGTGGATGGATCTGGGTCTTACGGCAATTCTTAGTCAGTGTGTGGGTGCGAGGCAGTATTGGTGCGCGTGTAAGTATGGATCATTGAGTGCCTCAGTTTGACTTCGGGTGGCAACCTGAGGCTGTCTCTGCACGTGTATGAAAGCGTTTGTGGGTGTGGGCGCGGACGCAAGTTTGTGTGCGATTATGAGAGTCGGTCCTTGTCAACCTGACTCTAGGCGTGAATGTGGAAATCTGGCTATGTGAGACAGTACCTGTCAATAAGCGTTAGAGAGTATGAGCACGGCGCGACTAATGGCGTGCATTAGTATGCACCTGGCTGCGAGTGAGAATGTTTAAATGATATGCATGAAAGTAGCGTGTACTTCTGTGAATGCATCGACCAAAGTTCGAATAATGGTGTGCGACTGCACGTGAGCCTAGGCTTCGATGAAGGTCTTATCGAGTCTGAGCCTCGGTGTGAGTGAATGTTCGATCGCCATGTGTGCCGTGGCTTTGCATTTGTGGTCATGAGTGTCGGTACTGGTCGTTGAGAGTCGAGTGTCGAGTGTGGATGTGGGTCTGGGTCTGGGTATGGGTGGGTGTGGATAAGGTTCTGAATCTGGGTCTAGGTCTGCGTTTCGGTGTAGATGTCGGCGCAAATGTGGATGTGGATGAGAGTGGAGGTGTGTGTGGGTCTGAGCCTGGGTGTATGTGAGCTGATGATGTGTACACTGTCACTCACATCCACACCCATACCCACACATTTTGCTTGTGTATATTAAGTAGATTGTGTAATGTGGCGTTTAGGGAGAAAGTATTAAGTACAAGAGGCAGAGAGTCTTTTTTGGACTGAGTACTTTTAGTAAACTTTAGAAGATACAGCATGAATAAGCAAATTGAAAAACTAAAAGTTGGATTAATTCTGGCGGCATGATGGGCTATAGCGTCTCTTGATAAAAGATTTGCTGCAACGGATTCAAACATGCTTTCGATGATGGATAGTTGCATCACCTCTTAACTAAGTTGTTTGACGGAATTATTGACACTGATGCATATAATATGGCATTCAGATTAATTGAAAAGCACAGGGTACTAATGAAATCATGATACGAACTGAGTTTAACAAAAAATGCCTTAATGTTAGGTAGATGAGAACAGAAACACAACCGACGAGCACGCTCACAACTTTACCTGAGGAAATATAAGTTGTTTATGCCGCCTCTCTTCGTCAATTGTTGCAGCCATCATTTTTATCAAGCTTACACGTTTTTTTCTTTTCTTTTTCTTTTCGTCAACAAAAAATATGTTGAATGTTATCGTATTGCTGCCCGCAGAATAAAAGAAATCTCAGAGAAACTACATACCACCAATCAACATCCAAGGTTGCGTCAAGGGGATGGCTCTCAGGAACACAGTTACTGAGAAGAGGTGAGGAGCTCTCTTCAACACAGGCTTCCTTCGATAGAAGTCATTAATATGGTTTGATTCATGTTCGAGTAAGCAGAAGCAAAAAGGAGGGGTGTCCAAGGACTGAGGAACAGGAATTCCTACTCAGTTCCCTGACGTTTCCTTGAACGCTAAAATTAAAAAAATACAATATCCACGGTACTTATTACTCTTACACTCGTTTTCATCAAGAAATTTGGGTATATGAACGTATGAGTACAAAAATTATTGCAAAAAAAGCATTATCTTGACTTTCATGAATGAGAGAACTGTGATGGAAATAATGGTCAATTCCCATTTCCCCAAGGAATTATCATAGCTACACTGACAATTCCTCTGCAAATTAGGAATTCCTATTTCTCAGTCCTTGGACACTGCTGTCAAAGAGAAGGTAAAAGAAACGTATTGTGAAAACATTAAGAACACCAATCAAAAGATAAAGGTCGCGATGGTAAATTAGTCATTCTTTGGTTTATTTGAAACTTTGAAATTTAAACCCATATATCAATACTATTGATCGACGAGAAGGAGAGAATATTTTTGCAAAAAGCACGAGTATGGAATCTATGATAAGGAATGGATCATTCTACAATCTATATGGACCTGCGTATATTAAAGCACATTGTCAATATTTGCTTTCGGGAAGAAGAAGCAAGAAAAGAAAAACAATAAAGAAAAAAATGTGTTACGATATAATCATTGATGACAAATGTTTTTTCATGCTTAACTAGTATTTTCTATCAACATCATTCATTGGAGATAAAACAAAAACAATCAAAATAGTGAAAAATGTGATAAAATAAAGAGTTTGTTCGTTTGCTTCGTCTTGCTCTAGTTTAGTTATTATTTTAAGAAGACAATGCCTTTGTCAATAATACTCACCAGTGAACAGTCAACCAAAAAGGAGCAAAGGAAACAGAAAAAAACAATGTGACATGATGAATTTTGTCGGCACAATTTCAAATATTGACGCATCATTTACATAAAAACACGCTAAATAACAATATAAAAATAGGTGTTTGATATCTCTCAACCATAGTTTATTCATCTATTTACACAAAATATTTCGAATCATGTCGCATGCTTATTTAGCGGTCGATCCTCTAGGTGAAGCAACATCTATCCGTCGTTATACGATTCGTGAAAAGATATTATCGCTACATGATAATTATAAAATCAAAGATGAATCCGATCAAGATGCCTTCATCGTTCGATCAAAACTGTGGACAATTGCTGACAAAATTCTTTTGGAAGACATGAATGGAAAGTGAGTTCATGAATTAGTTGCATATTGTCTTTCAAAATAGTTTTCTTTTTTCGATGAGCACTTATTTTCCTCACGAATAATAAGTCAGATCAATTAACTAAAAATGAAAGCTGCGACACAAGTTGTAGTATAAGATATCATTATTGAATAATGTTCATCTATGATAGCGAATCTGAGAAATTACGTCAATATGTCAACATTCTCTTTTGGTTATTGCCTAATGACTGCAAGAATTAATTAGAGAAGCCGATGTTCTTAATATGAGTTCCACGGATTACGGAATAATTATTATCATTTATTTACAATACTGCAGTATTCCTTTGAAAAGAGAGACATCTAGTTGTTTTAGATGCGTCTCAGGTGATACGTAAAGACCACATAGAACAAAACGAAAACGCTGGTAAAAGAAAATAGTACAAAGCTGAATATGAACGACTTTACAGCTTGTTTGATATATGCACAGGGAAAATCGAGTTGACTGCGTTTGATGAACTCATCATTTGATAAAAAACCGACTAACAACAAGAAATTCAGCAAAAACAAATGATTGCAGACGCATTAAAACCCTACATCATAATAAATCCTTTCTTCCAGTTCTTGAATAATCGACGAAGGTAGCAGCTTATGAAGTCTTAGCCTTCCTATGAATTAAATTACGAGCGGCTGTTATACAGGTATCTTTAAAAGGAGACTACATTTTTATGAGATTTCAGAAAAAGGAATCTTTCGATTCATTTGCTATACATTCAACTGCAATAAATGAAATACACATGAGAACCGAAGTAATTCACCTTAAACAAGTGTCTCATGTTAATGATCTTAGCTTATCAGTTCGATTAAAGATGTAAATTAGACTGAAATTAACTTACACTTAACATCTGTTTTATTTCACATTCATTCGGCTTGCTTGAGACATAATATTTGTTCGTCTATCGACAATCGCTACCGAAGTATTATGTAATAATTGACAATAACCATGGATTCTTTCTCAGGAGTAGAAACAACTTTTCGATTTTATTTTTATTGAGTGATGACGCATTATCTGTTTACAAAAAAATGAACTTCAAAATCAATTCTAGATCCATTACTTAGCCATCGAATCTTATCATATTTTTGTGCGAGAGACTACTAACGGTCCACATGATTCGATCTACTGAGATTTTTGACAAATTTGATTAACATTTAAGTGTATATGTATTTAACACACTTCTGTGAGATACGACCAAGTATTCCACTCATGTAATCGATTTCGGGATGAAATATACATCATTCTATTTATACATCATGGAATATATATTTACTCGTTGGAATGGTGTTTTTCGAATGTTGTTAATATACTTCGAAGTTGTTTTCAATTCCACATCATAGTTTTCTATCTTTACTCAAGTTGTATCTGAAAGTCTTTTATTTTTGATTTTAGTGCTTTGGTAAAGATCGAGGAAGAACTGCTTCATTTACATCCAACATACAAAATATTGCCAGCACGTGATGGTGATGCGGGTCGCCAATTAGCATTAGTCAAGAAGAAATTCTCATTTCGTGAGAAATTCTCAGTCAATTCAGTGTATGGTGAATATCATTTGGAAGCACTAGATTTCTTAGGTCGTTCAATCACGTTAAAAAAAGAAGGACGCACTGTGGCAATTATAAAAAGGACGCTAGCTACTCTGGCTGACACCTACGAAGTGGAAATTGATAGTGATGAAGATCATCCATTCATCTTAGCGTTGATAATTGTTCTTAATCAAGCTCAACATCAGGATTATAGCGCGGCTAGTGCATCTAACTACCTTCCTGGATCTACCTAATAGTGGCAGTCACAGGCCATGATTTTGAGGCCTAGATTACGTACCTTTTCCTCTGATATGGAAACTTTATCTGGCAAATTGAATATATTACCAGACCATAGATAAAACTAGGGTGTGAGTGTGAGTGTCAATAAAGGAAAGACCTAAACCTCACACCCCACGCCCACACCAATCCACATCCGTACTCACCTACACCTACACCCACACCCAACAATAACAATATTCATATTTCGAATGATGGCACGGGTCTGTTAAACGTTTATATTGCAGAAGCAATCCTATATTGCTTTTACGACGCTTTTTTCTTCTATAAAGATTTTTTTTTTTGGAGAAAAATTAAGTGCTGAAGAAAGCAATGGAGCAATATCGAATTTCTATTTATCGAAAGATCACGGCGTGCGCTTCTTCACTTTCGACCAATGTGAAAAACATTGTCTCTTCATTATATATAAAGATGGGTGCTGCCACTATTCTGTCTCATTTCAAAGCAAGCGATGGTTTCAACAATAATTTGTTGTTTCGTATTCATTCCATTCAGGTAATTCTAGAATCTATTTTTTGCCTAGTCATCTAATGTTGAACAATATTCCTTTTAAGTCTTACAGGTTTGATTCTTGTTTTCTTTTTATATGTCCTTCTATTAATTTAGTATGTCGTTAGTTCGAGTGAAATTTCAATTCTGCCTTGGGATTGCTCAATATGATCGATGTTCGCTAAATAGTGCATGTGCCTGTTTCCATATAGTAGGTGCTATTGACACTGGCATTTGTACCGATGAGTTTGTGGATTGTTCTGAGCTAGTTGCATGTGAAAGTTCAAACAATCTTTGTTATGAACCTAACCATAAATGTGTTCATCATCCTCGATGTCATAATCTTCCTGTTTGTTATCCGATGCCCAATTTCAATCGACAACTCTGTCCACCGATAGCAAGTAAGAGAACAAACAGTGATATACAGACTCAAGTGAAAGTCAAATCTTTCTTAAAGTTATTTCTTCATCGTTCACACATACTCACATATCCAGTTCATGTTGGCGTAGGAGCAGTGGGGGAAGAGTCGAAGAACATTTGAAAAAGTAGATAAAGCATGACAAAGATAAAACGAATTATAATCATCGGAAAAAATGATTTCATCTCTTCTCATTAACCATATCTATTAATTTGAAATATAGAGTCTGTTTCAGTTATATTTAGCAATGCGTGAAGGTGCAGTGAACTTTTGAATGTACATTAGAGACTGAAACAAATTGAAGAATTGATCACTCGATTCGATTCTGTAGAACGTGTCATATATTAGGATCTCCATAACAGTACTTCAATTCTATTGTGCCACATTTCTCTTTATTTACAGTTTTCGTTGTAGACTCGACTGACGAGAAGACATTTCCAACTGATTCACACCGTTTGAGTTCACGTTTTGTTGATGGCTAGGGTCAATTATATATATAAAATACCGAAAAGGATTCGTGTCAATGCTGTTTGGTTTCAGAGTTAGGAGCAAAAGAAATACATTGATAGATGATGTCACTATCTATGCACTATTTTTTGTTTGTTCTCTTCATATCTTAACTAGAACTTATTCTTTTTGGTCGAACTTTTTACTATCAGTTCATCTTATTTAACTCAAGCGCAAAAAGTATGCCTAATTAAGATCTGAAAAGAACAAAGAATAACGCATAGATGATGACATCATCTATCATAACATTTGTTACGCTCATAACTCTGAAACCGAACAGCAATGGCACAAATCCTTTTAGGTATTATATATATAATCAACCATAGTCGGCAACCAAATGTGAGCTCGAACAGTGTGAATCAGTTGGGAATGCACCCTCGTGAGTTTATTAAATATTGAGTTCACTCGGCAACCTTTTTTTTGAAAACAACTACGATTAACATCTAACTCGAAAGAAAACCCATTTATGATTCTCTCTGTCATATTTCTAATGATTATCGCTGATGCATTTTTGGATTCTGAATTTTTTTGAATTTCGTATTCAAGATATGCAACTACATTGTCAGGTTTATTACCAAGCAGGAGCAAAATATTTTCTACAATGCTTGATGCGTAATAGAAGAATAAGAGGTGTTTTCAATTCGACATACAAGAAGATTAGTTATTGGAACCTCATAATCTCTCAAACAAAAAAAAAGGTCCTTTTTCTATTAGCTCTTTCTCCTCTATCCTTTATTATTATATCTTCATTTACATATTCATGAAAAAATGTCTTATTTTCATGATAGTGAACGAACACAAATAATAATCTGTTGAAGACAAGAAATAGTTTTTTCAAGAAAGAACTACGGTATTTTATAAGCATATATTTACTAAATAATTATATCATATACAAGTATAGAACAGTATAAATTACATACATCATATACAGTATGATTCACTTATTTTTGCTCATTTTCTTCAGTCGACTGTGCTTCTGCAAAAATTCAAAAGATTTTCTTTTTTATTTGATTCGAGGAATCAAATGAAACCGTTTTGAGTTTCAAGAGAAAATTTAATATTATTGTTGAAATTTTAGGCAATTGTACACTAATAAAAGAATAGGCTTTTAGTGCTATTCTCATAATCCAAAATTCACCTGTAAGATCTGAGCTAAATTAGACTAAAATCACATGAATCGATAGAGAAATCGACGGTCTATCTAATCATATATTAATGAAAAAGATTCAAATGTTTAACCGACTATTATTCACTCGAGAATAAACACTAGAGATTGGACGAAAATAACTTTTAGATATCTACTAAATTTATACTTAAGATGAGAAGTAAATTTGATGAAAAATATTCATTTGTCTAGTAGATCATGACTATTCAACAAAAAATTCTGACACTTCTATGAGAAAAAGTCTTTTTTTTTAACTGTTTTTCGAAATTGTTACATTTTTGGGCCAAGATACGAAATAAATTAGATCAAAACTATACAGTTCGATAGAATAATCAATG